AAAAAAAAATGCGTAAAATAGACTTTGTTTTAAGTCCTTTAGATCAATTTGAAATTAGAGATTTATTTTCATTAAACGCCAATTTATTTGGAAATATTCATTTATCTTTAACAAATATAGGATTATACTTATCAATAGGTGCATTCATTATTATAACTTATAGCTTATTAGCTTCAAATAATAATAAAATAATACCTAATAGCTGATCAATTAGTCAGGAAACAATATATGCTACAGTACATAGTATAGTTATAAATCAACTTAACCCAACTAAAGGACAAATATACTTCCCTTTTATCTATGCATTATTTATATTTATATTAGTGAATAATTTAATAGGAATGGTTCCATATAGTTTTGCATCTACTTCACATTTTATATTAACATTCTCTCTTAGTTTCACAATAGTATTAGGTGCAACAATCTTAGGTTTCCAAAAACATGGATTAAAATTCTTTTCATTATTTGTACCTTCAGGTTGTCCTTTAGTATTATTACCTTTATTAGTTTTAATTGAATTTATTTCATATTTATCTAGAAATGTTTCATTGGGATTAAGACTTGCAGCTAATATCTTAAGTGGTCACATGCTTTTAAGTATATTAAGTGGATTTACTTATAACATAATGACTTCAGGTATAGTATTTTTCTTCTTAGGTTTAATACCTTTAGCTTTTATTATTGCATTCTCTGGATTAGAATTAGCTATTGCATTTATCCAAGCTCAAGTTTTTGTTGTATTAACTTGTTCTTACATTAAAGATGGATTAGATTTACATTAATTTATTCCGTTATAAATTTTTAAATATATGAAAAACATTATGAAAAACAATATGAAAAACAATATGAAAAACTTTATGAAAAACTTTATGATTAAAATAATTTTTAGAGGTATAATAACCTTAGGTTTAATCGGTGTTCTTTTCGGTATGATTATTTTATATGTATACTTTTTCGGTGAAGTCTGTTATGCTATGGGTATTGAAAATAATTCAAGATTTTTAGTTGATTCGTCTACTATTCCGCATGTTATGAAATGAGATGTTAAGAGCCTTGTTGTTAAGGGTAGTGGTGATTATTATATGACTACTGAGCTTGCAAATCATTTAGGTATTGCTACAACTATAAGCGCTGGTATGATTGCTATGACTAAATTAGTTAATTCTAATACAATGACATTTGGTTGACAAGTAGGGACTATAGCTTTGGGAGGTATTACTGGTGGTTTTGTATTTATGGCTATGAATGCTTTAAATTGTTTATTAAGTAAACATTGAATTATTTCTCAAGTACTTAGTAGAAAGGATAGCCCAGTTGTTACGATGGTTAATGGAAATTTAATTAATTACCCTGCATTCTTTAAAAAAACTAGAGGTGTTTCTGGTATTAATGGAGATGCTGATTTTAGTAATTTTACTGATATTAATGATGAGAATCCAAGTCAAATACCTAGTATTATTAATATTGATTCTGAAACTTATGTTACAACATATAGATATGTAAATCATAAAAAAAAA